CGGCCCAAATTGGATATGCTCTACGAAGTATTGATGGTCCTGAGACGGCGACCGTCTCTGCGGAGCGCCAGAATATCACCAACCAGACGCCTGGAGTTACATAAGTTCGCCGACACCTTCAGTCACGGTCATCACAAATGTATTCCATACATTGACTACAAGGATGAGTATCTATTGGTCACTGATGCCTCCTTTCGCGGTCTTGGCGGGTACTTCTTCCCCCGATGCGATACTCGGAATGTAAGATGGTTTTCGATAAATATGGAGGAAGATCCCGAGATTTGGAGGCAGATTTGGTATCAGCGCAGGAATCGGCTCGATGATCAACTCCCTGACGAGCTGGAGCCAGTGAAGTTCGTCAGCGGTGATAGTAATTTCCTCGAGCTACTCGCAGTCTATTACGGCTGCGAATGCATCTGGGCAATATGTGCTCCCCGGGAGACTTATATCAGATGCTTCTCTGACAACACATGTACGGTGTCAGTACTAAGAAGTTTCAGGTCGCGTTCTATGAGCCTTGCTTCTGTCGTTCGAAAATTCGGCGACCTCCGTTATCGACTCAATGCTCATCACATTGCCGGGACCCTGAACAACATAGCTGACGATATCTCTAGGTTAACTCGTGCTTCGTTGGTGTCCACCGGTCAAATGCCGAGGTCGTGGCCGGAAGTACCACGTCAAGTCCTCCAAAAAGTTGTGACGTTCACTCCCCCTTAAGATACTGCTCGGTTTCTCGTTTGCGAATCCGACTGAGTTCCTGTCAATTTGGGTGGGCCAACTTGAGGTACCCCAGATTTGTCCGTCATCGTTGGACCTCAACATCTTACATGTCAGAAAACTCTGCCTTCACTAAGTGGAACGAGATGCAGCCTGCACACGGTTCAGCTGAGGCTACTACTCAGAATCTGGAGCTACTAGGGCTCTCGATAAGTGAGGACACAAGAAGAGGCTACGAGAGGGCAAGGAGAGAGTTCTATGAGATGGGGTTGTCCTTCCCTCTCAACGCCGGGAAAGTTATCCGATACATCAGATGCCTGTTGGATGTAACTGAGCTGAACTCGACCTCAGCACAGAAGCGAATTACAGCTCTGAGAACTTTGCAGAAACTGGAAAGCTTTAGCACCATGGATGTCGCGGATGAGCGCTGATTAAGCAGCTATGCAAGCCGTTTCACGCATAAG